GGCCTTGGAGGGTATGGAGGTTGTGGAATGTCTCAAGGCATGATGGGTCAACCACAGCAAACTCAAGATGGCCTTGGAGGATGTGGCTCTTGTGGCATGTCTCAAGGCATGATGGGCCAGCCACAACAAACAATGCCCGATGGCAGCCAAGCGGGCTGTCAAGTAGGCTGTGACGGTGCCTGCAGTGCCTGTGGCGGCTGTGGCTGCGGCGGTTGTGGCTGCGGCTGTGGCTGTGGCGGCTGTGGCGGCTGTGGCTGCGGCGGCTGCGGCTGCGGCTGTGGTGGCTGTGGCATGTCTCAGCCCATGATGGGTCAACTGCAGTCTTCACAAGATCTTGGTTGTGGTGGATGTGGTATGGCAGCCATGGGGCAACCCGATGGCACTTCCATGCCGGCGTCACAAGAGATTAGTCCCGCCGCGTAGAAAAGTGAAATGTCACAATGTTGTAGAAAGTCCTCAATCGAAGCTTGGCACTAAACAGTCCGGAGCTGAACATGTGACGGAAAGAAAACGTCTGACTGCCAGACGCGGACGGTTTGTGGGCAGGAGTGGTGGGGTGAGCATCTTCCCGGCAGAAACTAGTAGCTAGAGATGATCCAAGTCCGACATATGATGTCAGCAAGGCCCAGTGGACAAATGCCACTATATCAACAAGTTCACATATGTCCACTATGGAGATATGTCTTCCAACAAGGCCTAGCCGCTTCCATCATAACATCTCATGCGTAACGAACTCCATCCTTGTTCAAATTCGCGTTGCTCCCTTCCTCCGACTTCCGCCTTCCACCTTTCCCGTGACCAAGAAGCGTCTGAGTCCAAGAACCGGGCACCTCGTCCTCGGTTTGACCTCATAAAACAATCCGTAGTTTAAGCTCAAGGACACTACTCACCATGAGGTTTTCAGGACTACTTTTTCAGGACCTGGGTGTTCTACTGGACCTGTAGCGTGCAAGAAGTCGTGGTGCAGCCGGGTCGTTTTCAGCGCTGCTTCGGATCTACCGATGTCCGTCGGCACGAGTCGTGCCACGTGATAGAGGCAGCTGGGTCTGGCCACGAGGTTCACGCCACAGTTGCAAACATGGCCGGGAGGACTCAGCTTGGAGGATTTCATTTGGCCTTCACCATCTCTCCTCTGTCTGTCCGTCCGTTTCTGCTTGTGTCTTCCCTGTTTGTTTGGGGGATCAAGTGTCATGTGCCGACAGACAAGCTCCTGTCTATCCATGTCGCACCCCGTCGCACGGATCGACTCGTCTCGCCGCTTCGGCGCCACGTCGCCCGCGTCGCCCGAGTCGGCCGTTTGTGGGTGTTCGACGTGTTCGACACGTCGGACGGCCTGGCAGGGCCTGGGAGCTTCGGTCTAGGTTCAGGTGGCGGAGGCCCTTGGCGGAGGCGAAGGGTTCTTGGACGACTCATGGAATCTCGTTGAAATGAGGAGACGGTCACCGCGCAAGACCCATCGAGCCCTTCTTCAAGGGTCGATACCTCGTGTCTTTGAAAGTTCCCCCCGTTGACTCGGATAGTGCGTTCGGCACCGATTTGGCACGTTTCGCCCCCGAAACATGAGGGGGGGAAACTGCCCACCCCGTCAAGAATGGGGGGTCGCCCACTGGCTTCCACCAGCGAGCCGCTCCGCTGGTCTCTCGCTCTGAGGTCCGAGGTCGTGGACGGCAGCAAGGCCTTCGACGTCTTCGCTGGACTTCTGCCACTTGACCGAAGACATGCCACTGAGCGCAGAACGGAAGGCGGTGCCAGGGCATCGCTACGAGTAGCAAGGAGCTACTACGAGCGATGCCCTTGCTATGCACTTGTTACTAGTAGCTTCTTGTTGGTCCTTCGCTGAAGAAATCTTCAGAAATAGCTCGCCAGACAGTCACGGGCGATCACGGGCTGTATAAACCACCTCTGCCAGATGAAATCCTCCGAGGCCGGGTCAGGCCTGCAGGGCGGCGGGTGCTCGCCGCGAGGCCGCGACTGGTGGGAGGACCAGGGGGGATGATCTTTCTGCGGAAATGGAGTCTCACCAGAGGGTGGCAGTCTGGTGAAATGGTGACATCTGAAGATTAGACCACTTTGTCTTGGGACTTGTGCCAAGATTGCCCGTGCTGAGTGGGAGCGAGTAGGGTAGTTGGTGCACTTGAATGCATTTTCCATGCTGCATTGCTTGTGCCTTGGCTATGTCAATAGATTGACAAAGGCATGCAAAAATGAACATGATACGTGCCAAGAGGTTTTCTGAACATCTGGAGATTGACACGGATCAGTTCAACCAGACGATATTCCGTGTGTTGGATTCCCTGTGAAGGGTACGTATTCTTGATCTCTCTAATTTTTGGGAAACATAGCTTTCGCCGGTTGAAGCACCCTTTCGAAAGACCTCCCAAACTCCATGGATCGTTTGTTGGATCCCTGCCCCCTGCCCAGACCTGCCGTTCGAAAGGCTGATCCCTTCCGCAAGCTTCAACCAGGTCGTGCCCCCCCCCAAACCCAGATGAAGATTGCAAGACCGGAACCGACAGACCGTTTGATCGGATTTTGTTGAAGCAAACTGTCTCCAAGGGAGAGCATTCCCTTGAGTTGGACCAGTCTTCCTCCTATGAATCACCTCATCTTCGCCTCAACCAAAAGCCTAGCGGCTTTTCGCGTTGGCTGCCTTTGTCCTGTTCTAGGCCACTGTGATTGCCGGGACGCCCAGACGGGCTTTCCGTTGGGGAAGGGGACAGCAAGGTTTTCTCGATGTTTTTCGATGTCACCTGGCTTGGAGTTCAGACGCTGTTTGTAATGCAGACGGTTGATTAAGGCACCCCCCTACCAGATTGGTTTTACATCTCCATTTTTCATAACCAGTCTGCATGACGAGAGGAACGCATTACTTTCCAAGAGGCCATGCCTTTAATTCGAAGCATGGATGATTGAAATAGGGGGTATGAGGGAAGGAAGCAAGATGGTTCAGCCGTACCAATGGGCATTTTCGATTGCTCTGGGGTCAGACCACCACGCTGCATGCATGGGAACTTGATGCTTTTCACCAAGAACAGAAGTGTGCGCCAACAGATTGGTCCTTCCAGATTGCACATTTCTCAGCAAAGGATCACCAGTGCTGTTGTAGTTGTTCTCCAATCAGTGAGGTCACGCTAGGGGTTCTTATTCACCCTGCTTTTTCTGCTCAACACGATCGGGGGTCTCTTGCTGGGATATACTGTAATGGGATATAGATAAATATATAGACATAATATGTATATATATATATATGTATATTTATATTTCATTCTTGAAATGGGATCTCCGGGGATTCAAAAAGGCGGTGCGGACAGCTGGGGGGAGGTCCTGGAGCAGCTCCGAGATGGTTTAACCCAGGCACCTCTGGCAGCCTTGTCCTGCTGTCCTTCAGGTCGGACCTGGGAACAGAAGACACAACCGACAGAACGGTCCAGGACGCGGACACGAGTCGCTGTCCGAGTCAGAGCAAGTACACGACACGACCCCTTAGAACATTTAAGCTTTTTGGCAGGGTCTTTCTTCCAAATCAACCTGGTCAAGCTGGTTTCATGCCAGTTGAAACCACTTGTTGGAGGAAGCAAGGCTGTCTGCCTAGCTTGACCAACCGCTTGAAACGCGGCTGAGCCTTTTCGTAGGGGGTTGGATGACTTGGTGGCCCCATCAGGGCTCTAGATGTGAAATGCCCAGGTCCTGAGTCCTGAAATCAGAAACTTCTGTCGAAAAGTATCAAGGGACACAGATTTGTATTAAGTAATATCATAATAACTATAATATATATATAATATACACATCTATCTCTCTATTATGAATAGGATACCATCTACGATATCTATTCATCCTTTGTCTTTGACCCCTATATATATATAGTCTTGCACCCAAACTCTGAACCTATTTGTCATTACTATACTCACCCACTTTGATGTGTCTGTGTCTGGTTCCAAGTCACTCCGCCTCTTTTCTAGGGCTCACTACTCTCCGTGTCACAGGCAGCCTCTTGGAGGAGGAGCGCTTCATTCGGCTCAGCAAGACCCAACTGAAGCAGGTGCCGAGCGCGTGTGAAATCGATGTTTCGCTCGCGAGAAGAGCTGCAGGGTCCAGTTATGCACTTTTCTGTGGTTGCTGGAGTGGATTTGGGACTCAAAGATCGCGCCAGATGGTACAGGTTGCAAGAAGAGCAAATGCTGCACATCTTCCACTGCTTGTTTGGGTCATTTTGTTTCACCCACACCACAAGAGACAGGTGGCCATGGTTCTGTGGTTGTGATCTTACACGTGAAAGCTAGTCAGACCCAAAACTTAGGATTGGCCAGCCTTGCTACCATCAGCTATTTGGAGCCTTTTTTAACAGAGAAGGTTGATGGAAGGCAAGCAGGCACTCTGTGGGACTGGCACAAATGCCAGCATAGGGGTAGTGTCATGGGTCATTCATGGTGTTGGGGTCTTTTTCCCCGCAAAAACCCATCGCCTAACATCCAGATCTGTCGAGGTCTCGAGGCGGAGATCGCCTCTGAAGCCGTCTAAACCTCGCTTCCGAGTGCCTGGTGGCCACAGGTCTTGCATGAGCTCTTTTTCGAACGCACCGACGTGCAGGCATGGACCGAAGACCGCTGTCGGCTTCGCCGGAGAGCCGAACGGATCCGAAGACCAACGGATCCGACCGCTTGGGGGGGAGATGTGCACGTGACCATCCCCCCCCAATGTGGTTCAACGTGCCTGTATGCGTCTGTTTTGTGGCCAGGAACGCTGGGGTTGTTCGTTTTCGGCTTTTCCATGATCCACTGGCCACCCGAAAACCCATCGACGGGCCGGACCGGGTCACGTGGCCGGAATTCACGGTTGACCCCACGTATTGTTTCTAAAAGCTTCTTGTTACTACTAGTAAGGCCCCTGCTCCTAGTAGCGATGCCCTTTGCTCCTAGTAGCGAACATTGCTCCTAGCCACATCTGGAGACCTTACCGAACATGGTCAACCAATCTCAAGTTCTCCCATGCTCGGTAGGTTTCGAGCGGTTTCCACGCCCCAAGGTCAAAGCTTCAGTGGTCATGGAATTGCTGGAAGACTGCCAGGTTGCACGCCATGCGTCGGTCTGCCCCAGCCGGCTTGCGGGGCGACTTCCAAGCCTTTTGGAGGGAGAGGTGGATTGTCTTGGGTTGGGGTATCTCAAAATTCAATGGAATAGTTTGTTCATGTACAGTATACAGTTGTATATACAGTATATTCATATCACCATGGTATTTTTTACAAGTGATACAGAAAGCGTGGCCCTTGGATAATCCGAATGTCGAGGATGCCTTTTTATGCGACAGCCGATGACCACGGCCGGAAGTTGGATCGACCAGTTGTGACTCCGAGTCACACGAGCACCCGCAGCCCTGCCGGTCCGACACTGTTCGAAGTGAAAAAAGGGATTGGGCATTCCCCCACCACCCCCGGTCCTCTTGGATCACATCTCTCAGGCTGTCAGGTCCTAAGAATCTTCGTCCGCTGACAGTCCTGTTCTTGGTGTCCAAAACTGGGGGACCTCTCCAAAGCAACATGCCGCCGGAGGCCGCGGGGACTCTCCATCGCGGAGCCCGGGCAGCCTGGGTGGGCGCAGGGGCACCGGGGTTCTGAAGCGATACGGTATGGTATGGCTAAAGGAAGAGCTACAGCTACAGAGAAACTACTGGAGATGGATGAAAATCAATGAACATCCCTGACATGCAAATCGGTTTGGCATAATGCAGCGTCGTCGTGGAGGATGGGTGGCATGGCATGAAGGTCGACTTTTTGCTCCAACGGAACGTCGACGTCAACGGACTTTCTTCCCTTTTCGATCCGAAAAAGATTCTGCAAGTGCCCATGGTCCGGGGAGCTCAAGGACTCACCATTGAACCGTTTAGTTTAGACCAGCATCTTGGTGGGTGCAGCGCTGCCATAGGCTGCCAATATCCAAAGTTTGTCAAGGATATTTGGATGTATCTTGTATGTCTTCGTCGTCTACATCCACCAAGAAATGTGAGAAGACTTCCACACTCAGCCTTTTTCAGGGCTTCAGTGTGTCCAAGAACTTCTCTCATCACGAGATTCCCGGACACGTGAGACCGCAAGGTTGTTGGCAGCCTTGGGTTCCATTACAGCAGAGGGGCCTCCAGTGGACACCACGCCGCTCGGTTCCATCCTGGGTGTGCCGGGTTGATCGCCATGCGGACGCTGGTTCCGTTCTGAGGGGTGCCAGGAGTGAACACAGGGTGTTTCATGTTGAGAGCGATCCCGAGCTATGAAGGTGGTCGATGTCCGGCTGATATTGTTTGAGAATTTGTTTCATCTTTGTATAATTTCGTGGAGCTCTTTCTTGGTGAGTCATGGGATCATGCTGAATTCCTGTAGCATCCCTTTTTTCCGGATGGAAGCCACAAACTCGTTTCTAAAAGAAATCCTGGACGTAGAACAAGGAAGAAGTCCTTGCATGACTTGACCATCACCATGGAATCGTTGACCATTTTTAGAGCGGGTCACCATTTGACTTGACCATTTCATCACCATGGTGGAGGAGCGGGTCACCTTCTGTGAGATTCCTTGGACCATTTTTAGCTTCAAGAGGTGACCTGCTCCTCGGTGCAAACCCCATCGTCGAGTCCTGGACTGACTTCGGGAGTTGCTCGGAGTTGACGGTATGGTCCGAACGTCCGCAAGGCTGGGGCTGACAGTCACACGTGGACGTATGTCTTTCTGAGCCTTCATGGTTGCTATCTCTCTCTCTCTCTTTTTTGGGTAACCAGTTTAATTTCTTTCACTTCCACTTTGGTCTTCGTCTTTTGATGTTGAAGGTGCCACAGGCTGGGAAGACTACGGTCCGATCTGGAACACAGCCTTCCGGGTGGGAAGCTTTCAGCTTGCCAAACCCACGAAAAGCGCACGCAAAGCGCACGGAGCACGCTTCGTGATCGTGGCCCTACTCACTTCGGCCCAGCGTTCGAGTCCGAAGGCGTCGGTCTTCTGAAGGCTTCGCTTCGCACCGGGACGGCGGGACGGCGCTCCCGTGGGGGTTCTGGGTACCTGGTCACTGGTCACGTGCCGCGGACGGACGCAGGCCTGAAGGCAGAGAGGCGCGCGCGCAGCTGGAAGCGAGGTCACAGCCGGGTGGCCGAGAGCAAAGCCAGTGCGGTTTGGGGGGGTCTACTGTTTAGATCACGTTGGAACTGTTTAGATTGTTTAGCAAGCAGGTCTAGTGAGCCTTCAAAAGAGAGATGTACACACTGACCCACTAATATGAACGTGCAAAATGGTCCCCTTTGTGAACGGGGGGGTTCCCACTTCCATGCTTGAAACAGGCAGAATCAATTCATAGGGGACTACACATCTATATACTATATACATAGGGTTGCTTTGGTGTAGTTAGGCGTAGTTAAGGGTTTGGATCTTCTGATGGTATGAGATCCAGCAGGTCCATGTTCTAGAATTCGTTTCTTTCGCTCTGATGATGGTGGGGAGAGGCCTATCGATCTTCGAGTCTTCAATATTCAATGGCCACCCTCTTGGAGTGCCACAGCAGGAAAAAGACTTTCCTGCAGACTTGGGTCAACACCCATGGTCATCCGTTTGAAGGGGACTCCAGCCTGTTCATTCTTGAGATGCTGATGTTTACGAGATGACTCAATTGACATGCTTGATAGGTAATATATAACTTAATATACACCCAATATGGATGGATATTTTCCCGTTGAATTCTGGATCCCTCCGCCGATCACCCTCGGGCGACACACCTCACCACCGGAGGAGCACCTCACCGCCCAGGTTCGAGCCGTTCACCGCCTTCGCCATGGACCTGCGCAAAGCGGCGCTTTGGACGCACGGTGTGGCTGTGGGGGGGAGTCGGCTTTGGTGGGGAAATGCAGGGGGAAGACGAAAGGGCTGTGGAGTCTTTGTGTTTAAGGTTCAACTGAACTGTAATACCCAGGCACTCCATGTATGCCATAAATGCCTACATTGACCCCGAAAACCACCCCAATGTAGGCATATATGGCATACATGGAGTGTCTGGGATAGGTCAATAATTGAGACTTGTGCCCTTCCAAAAGACCGGGCAGCAATTGGCGTGGGCATGGACATCGGCAGCCCACAGTCCCACGGAAAGAGTGATCCTCCTGTCGCGAGGGGGGGGAAGAAAAAGCTGGGGCAGGCCGAAGAGATGCATCTTTTTTCGGGAGATCAAGCCAGCATGAACCACTGGCTATGTGGGTTGATGCCGGCTAGGTGCAGGGTCCATGGGTGGATGGGATGGAGATCCTCAGCCGTGGGAAAGTTGGACTTCAGATGACTCAGATGGATCGTTGGCGGCCAGAGGACCTCAGTGAAGGGGAGAGTTGGACATCTTGCTATCCATGAGGAACCGTGAATATTGATGAATACGGTTGCAGACATTCACTCATTGGGGGGGAACAGAGCGAGAGATAAGAGATCCAGAGAGATCCAGATGGAAAGCCTTCGAGAACTCACTTGATGTTGACGATCTGTTATCACCGAAGAAGACTGGCTTGGACCCACGCAAACCTCAGCAAACCTGTGCCCCCCCAACGAACAGGACTCGCCCCTTTGGCCTGAACCTCAGCAACCATTCCACCGCATGCCTCCAGAAGCCGAGGGCCTCCGCCAGCCCAGGTGCGGCAGAAAGTGAAGAAGACGGTGATCCCAAAGGCTTTGGTCACTGGCAGCATCTTGGAGCCTGGAGCCTGGACCTTTTTTAGGCAAACACAACGAGTGGCTGGCGCCAGCGAACTCAGACGCCCAAACCTTCGTGTAGTAAGGGGTAGAAGAAAAAGCTCGATTTCGATCCAAACGTACTTACTGTATATAAGGAGCATTTGCAGGCCACCCGATTCAAAGAAAGTCTATGTGACTTTTCCGGCTTTCTGAAGCCGAAGCGATTCTTTCGCGCAACCCAAACAACTCAGCGCGTTCGAAGACATCGGATCTTGCCCTTCAATCGCGTTGTAAGACAGGGGACATCATTAGGCCATAGGACATAGCTCTTCGGTTGGAGGTCAAATCATCGAGCCCTGAAAAGGTGAAAAAGGAAGAACCGCTGATCGAGCGACGGGGGGGCGCGGCTCGAGCGTCGGCGGCGCACCTCGGGTGCCGAGCGCCTCCCAAGGCCCCTGAGCTACGTGAACTCCAGCAGCATCGTCGAGGCGGAGCCGAAACACCGCGGAGCGAAGCTGAGGTGGTCCGGGTGGGATGGATAAGATGGAAGACAGGGAGTGCCAACCAACACTTGGATAATGGAGGGTTTGAGTTTGAGTCGGTACCTGGTACATCCTGGTACTGGCTTTCCTGAGGTCCCGGGTTTTGGCAGTGAAGAGATCAATCTGACTTCCGTACTGTTGAGCTTTCAGAGTGGTATGGGAGAATCGTGAAACTCTCTTTCACTAGTTCTTTTTTTCTTTTCATATCAAAAAGACATCAACCCTGCCCGCCCTGCACATAGCCAGCATCAACCCATCAACTACCCGCTGTTCCGGCCGAAGACCCCGCGACGACATTTCAACAACTCGTCACCACCAGCAACTGCCAAGCTGCATCGAGCCGCTGGCGAGGTGCCCGAACGGGAGAACCTGGTTGAGGAAGCTGCGTCGTTGCGGCAGGCGGGATCCATGGAAAACACGTCCAGCGCGGTGAATCGAACACGTCCGCAGGGGAGGAGGGGAGCGAGGGACCTCGAATGGGTCTGATTCCTGGAAGGAGAGGCAAATATTGATCCAGCATGATATTCTAACTATGCACATTTCATGGTATTGATGTTGTTTGAAAGTTCCATTGGGATTGTTGTTCATTCCTTCTCGACGTGGTTCCTTACCACCTCTTTTCTCCACACCCGGCCCGTCAGAGATGACTTGGATGATTGCAGTGGAGTCATGTTTTCTGAATGAAATAGTTCGACTCGAAGCTCAATGATGTTCGAACGACGCGACTCGGGAGTATAGACCGTACAGTTGGTTGAAGGAAGAGTGATCCTGAGGGTTTTTGTTTGAAACATGTGTGATCCATTGTGATCCTGAGTTGGAGCTTGTGGATGATGTCTTTAAATGATATTTGAGGAACCAAAAACGGGCCCAGCAAATGGATAGCAAGGTGCACTCTTGATACTCTTGAGGTTTGACTACTGTAGTAGCCAAGCAGAAAATTGACTATCATGAGAGGGATCCTCTGCAGAAACGAGACGTTCCATCAACGTGACAGAGGTATGATGGTATGATCGTGAACCCAGTGGCCTTGTTCTCGAATCCTTCCAGAGAAAGACACTGTGGGATTTATTCAGGATTCAGGAATCATTCTTCTTTGATTCAAGGACCTGGAATTTCAACGTTTCGCTCTCAGGCTCAGATGATACTTGATCACTATATCCAGGACCATCTAATGGGTGTCGAATGGACTACTCCACACTACTTAAGTGATCTCCACTAAACACCCATTAGATGATCCCTTTATATTGCTTTCTTCCTCTTTCCTTCGATTCCTCCTGGCGGTCTTTTTCGATCTTCTTCGACTCCGCGCGGAACCGCGGTCGGCAATAAACCCGCCAACCTCGGCGCGTCCGGACGATGTTTGGACCGTCGGGAATCGGGTCATTCGGGTCATGACCGGCGCCTCAGCATGGTCGGAGGTATTGAAGCCGAACATGCTAAGCAACTGCAGATCTTTGGTTCTTTGGGTTCTGCTTCGCCCGAACTTCGGCCGTTTGTTGGAGAGAAACGGACTCCTCTTCGCCTGGAGAGTCCAAACTCTGCCGTCTTCCAGGGCGGACCACAGCAGATGCGCGAGACGCTGGCGGTTCGGGGGACTCAGAGCTGATAGAAATCGGGTCATCTGCCGGTACCGTTCTTTTCAGGCCCCGTGTTTCTTCGGTATCGTACAAGTATGTGACTATATATATATACATATACAATATGCATAGTACCATATCCACTTTGTGCAAGTTCCACTGAACCAACCAGTAGAACATTCGTAGCTTCAGTTGCCCCAACGCGCCGTTGGCTCTTGCGATGCTCAACATGATCCACGTGATCGAACAGCTTTCATCGACTCTGAACACACTGTAATTTGGCCCGTGAGAAAATATGTCCTCCACCTTTGAGTCTTTCTGTTTCTCTTCCACCTTCATCATCTTCCGTTAAAGACCCATTCTTCAACCGAATTCGGTCATAGGCCCCATGGGCGAGGAAAAGAACTTGACCTCTGAAAGACCTCTGAAATACATCTGTACATGGAACACTTTCTGCAGCCCAGAACCAGATGGCATTCGATCGTATTCGATTCTGAAAAACCGAAACTGCGATCCTCTGCAGCGGAACTGAGAAACAACTGGGCTCGACCGAGCCTTGCTCAACGAGACTTCGTTGCGTCGTTGACCTTCCAGGGTCGCAGAACTGAAGAATCATGAAGATCATGAAGCACATCGCCTAGTCGTCTAGACAAACTTGTTTACATGTCTTTTTTGCTTTCAACCCCCACTTTTTGGTGCAAAGACTGCATGTTTCCCTAGCAAGGTTGGCAACACGTTGTCGTTCTTGATCCCCCGTATAGATCAAGACGACTATAGACCCAAGCAAATCGAAGATGCACGAAGCAGGTCGAAACTCATCGGTACTCGACAGATTTGCTTTTGCAGCCTGCTTTTGACACCAAAGGCTCGACACCAAAGGCTCAGGAAGGACCCAACCCCTTCGATCTGAGCACCATGTCGTCGTCGTTGCTTCGGGGTCGTTTGGGTCGCCTCTGGGCTGTAGCAAGTCACGAAAGAGGAGGTCCAAGGTCCTCCGTGTGGCCGTGGTCATTCCTTTGGACAACGTGTGGCCGTTCCGGGGGATGGTCGCTGGTTCTTGGTGCGAACGAAGCGAACAAACGCTGCTGCTGAACTTGGTGTCGAACTGTTTCTCACCTCGTGCGACCGCCGAAGCCGGCGGGACACCGGTGGGACACCGGTGGTTCGAGCCTCGCGGTTTCTGGGTGAGGCTCGGAATGAGAAGCTGGAAAGGGTGAAGCTTGTGAAGGACGGGCTCTGCAGGGGGTTGACCCTGCGGGAGAGCTGCGCGTGGCTTTGGTTCGGGATCGGGGTGAAGCGAGTGGGTCAGGAGCGCTGGCCATTGGCTTGTAGAAGGATGCACCGTTGGGGGGGGGTACCAGGGTTTTGATCCAGAAGGAAATCACAAGTCGTCTCAACTTTATGGGGCATATTTTTGGCCTTTACTAACCGTTACTAACCATCATCATCATCATCATCATCATCATCACCACATAACTGTTTTTGGTGGCCAACGACACAAGATCCGACGATCGGATTCACTCGGATGGTTAGGGGTCCGTGGATGGTACCCTGCTTTCCATGGTACCCCTAAATTGGCCAATGGGATGGAAGCATATGCACTCATCGACACTTTTCTGCGGCAAACCTCGCCGCCGGCTAGGAACTTCTCTGGTGGTTGGAAGATCCCCAGGAAACCATCCATTATTCATCCTGCTGTTCTTAACATCACTTTTGAGCAGTTGGTATCCAACATTCGTTCGCATGTGCCGTGATGTCTTGCCAATTAGAATGAGTTGGGCCGCTAGTACGCATAGGCAGACTAGTCGTCCATAGGTTCAAAACGAACCTGACTAAGATGAAAAGCGGAAAAAAATCAACTGTTACTGGATAGACTCGGGTAGACCCAAGGAATATTCATGGGTCATCTCATCTCACCATCACCTCCAATCATCTCCTAACTCCAAAGGCCTCCCCTCCGTGGCGAAGCTCGGGCGAAGCCCCTAAGGCGGCCTTTCTCCGGCTCTCCGAAGCCTCCGGGGGCCGCGTGCCGCGGTCCCCCGGACCGCGACCGATCGCAGCTCGTCGGACGCAGGACCAAAGTTTGCGTGAGATGCTTGAGAAAGAAGTCTTCATGGAGACTCAGGCACTTGGAAGTCTCGATGATGGGCTTCTTTTCTTCGCAAATGGCGGGATCGGTGAAGCCTGAGATGGTTGGAGTTGGATGGGTTGAATGTGTTGGATGTGTCGATGGCGCATCCCGTCCCTGATGGAACACGACCTGGGTTCAGGTAGCTGGCGGGTTAGACAGGCCTCCACAGTGGACACGAGAAGTGCCCAAGCCAATGGCCCAAAAGGTTCAAAAACCCATCAACTGATGACCCGTGGCTTTGCAGTCTTGCTGGAGCATCTCAGGATCTCAACTCATCAGAAGGAGAATCCATGTCACCCTGGAATAATCATGGAAGTGAAAAATGGTCCGATGATCATTTTCCTGTACAAACAGGTGCTCCATGACTCTTCGAGGGAGTGTAAGATCCTCAGTTCCCCCATCTTCTCCCTAGCTTCAGATCACCCAGATTCACCAGAGAAGGGTCAGTCAAGAGAGGGTGGAGGTCATGGTTTTAGTCGAGGCTATAACACCGCCTCCAGCCAATCACACTTAGTCACACTTGGAAGTATATCCGCTTCTGATCCACCACTTGAGTATTAGCATGAGGGTCATGTTCTTTTCATGCAACCATCCAACAAACTCCTCCAAGATGATGCAGTCTCCCTCAAGAAGCCTGGTAGTAGTAGCTTCATGTTCGACTCGTGCTTGAGTCACTTATCCGTTATTCCTCAGTTTTACATCATTCTCCATCCATTCCTCAGGAGTCGCCCGCCCAGACGTCTGGAAACCGCTTGGCGTTGGTGAAGCGTCGGCATGCCCAGAGGAGCTGCTTTCCGCGTCGGAATCACGGTGGGACCCAGGACCGATTCAACGCAGGCCCTGCGATGTCAAGCCTTGAACGATCCCAGATCCGAGGAGATGCAGGGCCAGTGCAACGCGGGTCTTGCTTTCTTTCTTTCTGGAACTCATGATTTATCCACGTAGTTCTACACGGGCAACTACGCCGGAACCACTTGGTCCAATGTTAAGGAAGTGGGGAAGTGGGGCGTTGTATTGGCTTGACCACTGAAAATGTCAACTACAGTAGTGAACACGTGGATTCCTGCCAAGCACCCTCCGATATTGGGATTGCCTTTAACGAGTTATCATCGTTGCAATGTGTCATCGACTCGCTTCATCTCAGGGCAAGCTGGGGAGGAAGAATTTGAGATCGGAGCCTCAGAGTGGTCTGGAGAATGCTGGGCCACCTGTATGTCATTTGGTAGAAAGAATGCAGACAATTTCATGGCTCATGCTCCAAAAGACACATATTTACTCCAAAGACACGACACGAAGTGTCCCCAAAGCCTTTGTTGTTGCTGTTCCCAACCGTACTCCTTGGGATCCATGACATTCCGACCGCAGCGACAACGGCAAGCATGGCGAGCACAGCGAGCGCAGGGATGGGCAGGGATGGGCTGGGCCGAAAGAGGGTGTGGTCCAAACCGTGGCTCTAATGCAGCTACGCATCCCGTCCTTCCTTTTGATGTGTTGGAAGCCCGGGTGCCAAACTGGGTGGACAGCACAGCAAGGGAAGCCTTTTGGGTCAAGCGAAGCCTGTCCGGCGAAACCAGGTCGTTCTATCACCACATGGAGGAGACCGGTCGGTATGGTCCGTTGTGGTCAGCATGGTCCGTTGCCGTCGCTTCGCAGTCGCGTGGGGAATGGCCAATGTGTCCAAAATGCGATGGGAGGCTCGGGTCTAATGCTGACATAACATCATCAGAGAAAGTGTTGATGCAGCAGAGAACGATGCCTGTGGGTCAAAATCAGGAACACACACCTGGACCTGGGTTATCCTGTGAGGATTCCAGGCTGTGCAGGAGTTCGGCCCGTCTCGGATGACCAAGATGATTTGATGTCCTTTTCGGACACCCTCGATGGATAAGTTAGTAAGGTTTATAGCAACATACTCCACTAGCATGCCACTATAAACAGGTTTGTTTATAAAATGGAAAACCGCAGGCGAAGCGGATGTTCACGGGGTATATAGCAACCATTCGTTCGATAGCGGGAGACGTGGACGTGGGGCTTCCAAAGTTGGATGTGAGCGGCACTGCTGAACACCCTGCAGTGTTGATGAAAAGCTCAACGTGCAACAAGTTGCAGAAGTTCCCATCGTGCAAGAACCGCCACACCATGCCAAGACAATTGGCTGACTGGCAGCAAGGTGATATCATTCCATACCATTCCTATTTTCAAGTGACTCATGAACTTGGCTAGTAGCTAGCATACTACTGTGCTGCAGTTGCTGCTATACTACTAATAATACTAGTCTATCGTCATCGTTCACTGTTTAGCATGAGACAGACCGCAAGCTTCGACTTGCCAGGAGAACTCAAAATACATTCCAGACGAAGAATTGGTGGAAAAACTGCGAGGCTGCATCCATTGCCTCGTGCTTTCGAGCGTCAAATTGGACGACTGGGCGGACGAAAGGGACGGCGAACGTGGTGAAGCCCCACAGAGCGAGGTTTCAGTGACTCCTTTGCATCCAGGGATTCACGATCTCGAACAACCTGGTGCTTTTCGAGAACAATGGTAGGGCTGCTGAAGAGTCGAGTCTGTCGAGTCGTTTTCTGACCAAATGTGTGGCTGAGAGTGGGTTTCCCAGCAATTTGTGGCTTGGACCCAACCCTTTCGCTTGGATTTGGACCACTTCGAGGCGTCGTGGCGGGATTTGGGGACCGCCACGGGCCACCCCAACGGTGCCCAACGAACAAACCGCGTCCGGTCGCCGGTGGAGAAACACATGAAGCATTTAATCAGTTCATCGAAGAAGGTTTTTGCTTCAATCATTCAATCAGTTATATAATCAGAGTTTGAAGGTCTCGTTTGGTCATGAACTCTGGGAGATTTAAAATACCCAGACCCTCCATGTATAGAATATATATGCATGCTTTGAACTTGTTCATTGTGCTTTGTTCTTACGAGCCGTGGAGTGAGTTGATGTACGAACGGCCGCAGCTCAATGTTGGGCGGGTGGGCGGGTGCTCGTATGTTGATTCACGCCCCCCTCATGTGATGTTCGATGAAGAGGGGATTTTTGGATGTTGATGCTGGCGGATCCTCTTCATCAAATGGGGGAGTTGAAAGGGCATTAGCATGTTCGACTGCCATGGGATCCGTTCGTGCGCCTCTTCGTTTACCGTGGGAACTTAACCCCTGTGTTCGGAGTATCTTCGGAGGAAACTCCACACCCTGGCTGGACTCAGTGTATGTCCCCAGGTCTTTGCCTCTCCAATGGGTGGCCAACAGAATTTGTCCGCTGGTGTCACGGTGCAACAGCGCGAGGTGGCAATTCAAGAGGCTTGTTACAGATCAGTCACAGACAAGATGGATTCTGAACGTTCCCAGGTGATTCTGAAATGGATGGAGCTAGTCACGCGTTGGGATGCAATTGTTGGGGTGCTCGGACGTCAAAGTTCAGTCAGGAATTTCTCACACTACAGTTTGCTGACACCCTGAGGACCAAAGCGACAAGCACTTTAAAGTTACGAGCCTCTTCCTTAGCTCTCTACGATTGCTGGCTCGATGCTATACAAGGAATCCTACCTGCCATTCCGGGAAGAGAGAGTCTATGAATATATGTGCCACTTGCGTAACACTGCATGTGCTGCTTCCAGAGGTGCCACTTTTGTTGGTACGCTTGGCTTTGTGAAGGATGTTCTTGGAGTGCCAAGTGTCGAAAGCTGTCTTAGCTCGTCTCGAGTCAAAGGTGCTTCACTCGAGATGTACTTGAACAAGAGGCCTTTGAGGCCAGCGCCTCCACTAGTTCCCGCGATGATTTGCGTGCTTGAGTTGGCATCCTTTGCCGAACGAGATACGCACTTGCGTGCGTTGGCCGGGTTTTGTGTAGCGTGCATTTATGGCCGACTTCGAGTGTCTGACCTCAACAGACTTGTTCATCTGTCAGTCATTGGTGACTACATTGAAGGTTCATTGATGCGGGTAAAGACTTCTCGCACCAAAGAGAGGCAATGCACTTTTCTTCCAGTCATCATCCCGAGATGGGGACTACTGGGAATTGATTGGTTTGGTGCATTCTTAGAGTCTCGCAAGTACCTTGGTCTCGAGCCAGTTCCAACTCTGGAGTCGGGAGCAGCTCAGAGAGAGTTCTCAGACACTGTCCATATGCAGTTGTACGCCAAGGTGTCTACGACTGACGTAACCGACGGTATGAAAGTGACCTTGACAAGTCATTCGCTGAAAGCTACTGTTCTGACGTATCTCAGCAAGCATGGGTGTGACTTCACTTACTCTGAGCTTCTGGGCTATCATTTGACCCAGCGCAAGTCAGCGATCAACTATCAGCGAGATGCTCTGGCGGCGCCTGTGCAGTTCATGGTCGAAGTTCTGAAATAATCCAGACTGGACAGTTTGTACCCTTCAACCCACGCGGCAATCTTTTTCCACCGCGCCCTTGGAGTAGTGCGCTCGGCCAAGTTTGTGATGAGCTGAGTAAGGACGTGACCAGATCGGTGAAATATTAGTGAACGCCAAATTGGAAGATGTAGTGAATGATGAAGGAACCGAAATGTGTTTCATGTGGGGTTTACTTTGTCGTGAGCCAGTGGATGCATCAGGAAGAGCCCCGAGTGTAGCCGGCAAATTGCCGGTTGAACAAACTGAGGAGCCAAACTCTGAAAGCGACTCGGAGTCATCAGACTCTGGCTCATCTTCGGCGGGAAGTGCATTCGCTGCCATATCAAGGAGAAACGCTGGCAAACGATGCGTGGTTCCTGCGAGTGCTGCGACAGATCACTCTGGAGGCACCGTAGGACCAAGATGCTACATTATGGGCACAACGACTTCTCAGAGAAGACAGCTTGTGGGCGTTCAATGAGTGATGCCTATGTAAAATTTATGGGGGATCCTGATCGAGCGTTTCCTCATTGCAGCCATTGTTGGGGCAGCTTCAACGCCTGATCTTTGATATATGAATGTCAGAATGTCAGTTTTTTGTTCTTTTTGCTTTTTGCTGGAGCACACATGAAGGAATACACTATTCCTAACTCCGCGGAGAGTCGCACGCTTCGTTGAATATTGATGTCGTCTCCAGGGTATGTTGATGTTATGACAAATGGTACACCCACATTCATGGGTGAGTATCCTTGCTTAATGTTGATGTCGTACTGCGCACAGTAGGTCTCAAGGTATTCTCCTAGTTATGTGGAGTCTGGATGCTCACTGTCCTTGGTTTTACATATGTGTATGTTGATTTCTGTGCGGCCACTACCATGTCGGAGTCACGACACCCCATGAGCACTTTCTCTCTCTTTCCAGTGGTGCAGGGTCCTGATTCTCCAAGCCGCCACGCTGCAGGCCAAGATGTATGGCAGTTGCAGGATCGTTTATGGAGGCGTTTTCAAGGACAAATGTTGATGGCGTCAAAGGACACACGGCTTCAGGACAGTTAAAAAAAGGTGACAGAATGTAGATGCTTGATCCTGAGTTTTGTGTAAAAGGCTAGCTTCATGTCGATGTTTCCGAGACCTGCGGTTCAAGCAAGTCACGTGGTCCGGCCTTGTGTGATGTCAGAAGCAGACTTCGAAGCAAGGGCTGCGGAGCTGCAAGTCAGTGCAGATGAGCTGGCTCGGCTGAAGACCTTGAAGTGCAACACCTTTGGCCGGCTTGCCTTTGCGTGCAACTATGTTCCGGGCCACGCTGATGACGCACCACTCCGTGCACTAGGTCGTGCAATCGCAGGTGTGGACCCAGCGCCCGATGACCGGATGGTCTTCGAGGCCTACACGTTGGCTGCGGCTGACCTCAAAATGAGGGTTGATAGGAAGGATGATGATTTGCCTTGACGATGGCCCAATGCTGAGAGATCGGCTCGCTATCGAGATCAGCAAGCACGCCTACCAGGCGTGGAAATGACTGGCGAAATGGAGCCTTCCCATGCCTTGATAGACTTGGTGTATCACATGGCTGAAGAGGGCCCAGCTGAGGTATGCGAAATGGGAAGAACCCGGTTTGGAAGGCCGATTCCAATGGACTTATTCGTGAGACAAAAGTTCAAGAAGCCCTGAAGGCTGAGTACAACACAGACTTGAAGCTACACTTTGCGCTGCAGCGCAGGAGCCTGGCTTTTGATCAAGCTCGACTCGTCGATTTCGCAGAATTTGAAAAGGGACGCACATCCTCTTGGAGGCCTTTAGCGCTCCGGCTTTGGAAGGATATCAGAAAGTTAGTCTTGAACAGATTCACGGAGCCGATTTAGAACTCTTCAAGGTGATGATGAGAGAGACGCGCAACGGCGTCAAGGTGAGTGGTGCGGTGCAGCCTTTGGATAGAGCCCTGAAGGAAGCGATCAAAGCGCCTGAGGTGCGCCTGTGCTTACAGCCCTTGCAGGGTGGCGCCAAAAGAAAGCATGAGGCTGCAGAAGAGACCGCAGCGAAGAAAGGCAAGGAGGCGAAAGATTATGAGAGAATGCAAAAGACCATTGAAAACTTGCAGAACCAGGTGAAGAACCTCAAAGGCGCCAAAGGTGGCAAAGGAAAAGGCCAGCAAGGCAAGGGAAAAACCCGCATGATTCGTTTGCCTCCCCAGCTCATTGGTGTGTCACCCACAGATGAATCCAGTGAGCCAATGTGCTATGACTTCAACCTGAAGGCTGCAGCAAGGCGCCGGCTGGTGGCAAATGCTCCAAAGGATGGCGCAAGTGTATGCGCCCGAACTGCGGCCAGCCGCATTCGCAGAAAGACCACCAGTGAGGTTCCAGTGCTGAGGTCACTCGTAAAGACAGTACTCACCACACGAAGTTTCATGAATTAGCGGGAGCCACCAGCGGCTCAGCTGTATGCCTCCAACTTTGCGCTGGCTGTGCTAGGCTTTCGAAAGAGCTTCATAGCCGTGGCTTCAAAACCATAGCTGTTGACTGACCATTCTTAGAACCGTCATAAGCAGCTTCATCCTACGGTTACACTTGACCTGGCATGTGAAGAACGCATTAAACAAATTGAATGTCTTTTGGATGAACCAGGACTCTTGCTGTACCTGCACGCAGCCCCACCTTGCGGCCCTTGCGCGCGAGCCAGAAGCAAACGCATGCCTTTGCGTTTAGAACGCAGAGGAACCCCAACACCTAAACCGTTGAGGTCTGAGAAACATCCTCACGGTCTCCCGAATGTAGAGCATGCGGATCTCTTGCGAGTCCAAACGGCTAATGCTGTATACAAGAACATTT